CCGAGGCGGGGGTCGCCGCCGTAGGCGCCACCGTTGGACTGCGCGGCGTCGGGGGCCGGGTCGGGGTAGGCCTGCTCGAGGCCCGCGGTGCCCTCGTTGTACAGGCTGTGCGAGTAGCGGCGGTCCAGGCCGTCGGCTGGCTGCGGCTGCGGCGCGTACGGCCTCTCCGGGGCCGGATAGAAGCCCTGCGGCGGGTACTCGGGCTGCTCCTCGCCGCCGCCGTACTCCTCGTAGCGCGCCCGTGTCTGGAAGGGGTAGATGACCCCCGCCGCGGCCACGGCCGCCGTCCCTGCGCCCAGACCGCCTCCCACGCCGCGGTAGTACACGTAGCCCTGGTCGTAGGTCCGCGACGCGGGGTCGTAGGTCTCGTACTGGCTGACGAAGGGCGCCTGCGGATAGGGGAACTGCTGCGGAAAGGAGGACGGCTGGCGGTAGGTGGTGGCGAAGGCCGAGGCCGAGGCCGAGGCCGAGGAGGCGGAGCCCCCGTGCCGTTGCTGGGAGACGGAGGTGCGGGCCCGGGCCATGGCCGTGCTGTCCCCGACTGCCACCTCGCGCCAGTTGTCGGGCACCTGGCCGAAGCCGAATGGGTGCCGCGCTTGGCCGCGCACGGTGTCCGAGCCGATGCGCCCGGGCAGGGGCAGCGACGGGGCCTGCCGACGCCGGAGGCCCCCGTGGCTGCGCCGATGCGGGGCCTGGGGGGCGCCCGCCAGCAGCACCCGGGAGTTACTCTCGGAGCGCTGAGTCCCCGCAGGCACGTACTCTGAGCCCGAGTTGAGCAGGCTGTACACCTGCCCGTTGTTCTCCCACTGGATCAGCTGCCGCCAGCGTCCCTGGTCCGAGCCCTGCCCTGGCTGCGCCTGCTGCCCGTGCACCAGGACGCAGACGCAGGCGCCCCACACCAGGGCCCCCAGCTGCCAACCGGCTGGGGCCAAAGCCATGGTGGCCCTTCTGCAGAGGCCTGGTGGACTGAGAGGCTCTCAGGAGTGGCCCCCTGTGCGTGTTTCTCTTCCCACGGCCTCGAGGACAGGACGGCTCCTTGCCTGCCCCAGCTCTAGCTTTGTCCATCCTGGCCTTGTCCCGAGCGGGACGGCTCCTCCGATGACAGCATTTCGAGGCCAAGGGGTCAGGTCAGGGCAGGGGCGGTGCCCAGGGCTGCACGAGGCTCTCTGCAGGGCACCGGGCAGGCAGGACCGCCTGGGGGCCTTACATGGCCAGCCCGGCACTGGCTGGCCGCTGGGCTGGCGCTTTCCCACTCTGAATGAATAAGCAACAGGCTGGGAGCGTAGGGAGGTTTCGGGCAGCCTGGTCCGCCTGCTGGGGCCTCCTCCGCGGGGCCCTATGGCCCGCCGGGTTTTAGCTATGTGGCCTGTCCCACAGCTGCTGTGCTCCCTCAGTCCCTGGAGCTCCCAGCCAAGCCCCAGACCTGCCTCTGAGGAAGGGAATGAAGAAGGGAGTACGAGGGGGCCTCTGGGGACTCAGGCCCGGTGAGTGGGGCCCTGGCAGGTGTAACGGGGCTGAGGTGTCAGCACCATTCTGACCATTTCTCTCTGCTTTGGACCCAGCATCCCTGGTCTCACCTTACTGGCTTCTTGTTCGGGCTTGAATAAGCCCCTGACTCGTGTCCACTCCAGCCTCTCCCCAGGATTCCTGGGCTCCCATTCTCCAAAGCCAGTGATCAGACACCCTCCTTGTTGGTGGGCCTCCTTGGGCAACATGCTGAATCCCAGCTGAGCCATTCTCTAATTCTGGACCTCGGGTGTACCTTAGCTCATTGGACCTGAGCACAAAGCAGATGGACCTTCAGCTTTTTCCCTCTTGGCACGTCCCTGGGCCTTAACTCTCCCAGTCTGTATGAATGGACGTATGCCCCTGTGCTGAACAGAACTTGTGAAGTCATGGGAGAGATCAACTTCCTGTCCATCCTGTGTGGTTTCTGTCCTGTATAGCCTAGAAATAACCTGAGTGTGCACATGGATGAAGTGAAACTCAGGGGCTGTCTTTGCTATGGGATAGGCATCATTGGGAGGCACTATGTGCTGTAAGCACATAGCAGAAAGGGGGAGTCAGGAGAATGGGGCTAGTCCAGTTGCTGTGATTAGGTTGCTGGGTGATCTTGGGCAAGTCCTTTCCCCATTCCGATCCAGTCACATCTGATCAGTGGAGGATTAGCCCAGATGGTCCCCAAGAGTGCTTTGGCAGGTTCTCTATTCTCTCAACAGAAATAAGAGGGGCCTCAGAAGTTTGAACACTTTGGCATCCAAGAAATCACTCTGAATGCCTCCCCTGGACTGCCTTCTCCAACCTTGGTCATGGGAACTGGAGGACAGAAATTTCCCTCTTTTGCTTATACACTAAGGATGCCCTTACCTTGGTCTCTCCAGATTCCCCTTCTACTTTGGAAATGCCTGGAGACCACCTTGGGAGGGGACAGCCAGAGTGCACATTCCTCAGACACCCTGGACCCCTGCCTCCTCATCCTTACCAGCCGGCCTTTGTTCCCCCACCCCGCTGTGCTTCAGCATGAAGCTAGGTTCAGGTGACTCGGTGCATCTGTCTACCCTCATAGTCCAGCCAGCAACCGTTCAACACAAGCCCCTCGGCTCCCCGGTATGGGGTTTGATCTCAGACTCCAGACAGGAATCCTGCAAAGAGCAAAACTGGTTTGGTTCAGAACATTGAACCAGATGCTGAGGGCCGGGACCAGGAGGGTTAAGCTTTCCCTCCCGTCCGCCTGCCCCCTGCAGGGCTGGCCTCAGCTGCTTGGAATCCCTGGGGTCCTGTAGGGCCCTCCCGCCAGCCAGATGGGCAGCAGCGCCAGGAAAGGAGGAGGAGCAGTGGAAACAGGCCTCAGGGTACCCCCAGGCAGGGAGGGGAAGGGAAGAGGAGGAACAGAGGAAGGATACGGGGTGGCTGTGAGGTAGGGGAGCCCCACTGGCAGAGTGGAGCAGGCAGAACCCTTCTTCCTGAGCCAGGCAGGGGACAGGGGCTGCCTCAGGGCTTTGGAGCAGTGTGGAGATCAGGGCACAGGCTGTTGTGCTCAGCCGGCCTCTGCCTGGGAGCCAGCTCTTGGCGTGAAACCCTACCCAGTGTTGGCTCCTGCTGCTCCTTCTTGCTTCTTAATAAGGTCGAATCAGAGTGAGTCAGAGGAGCCAAGTTTCCTGTTAGGCTCTGTTTGAATAAACTCTGCTCTGAGCATAGCTTGGGCCTCTGCGCAGGCTCCTGGGGCCAGGGCTGCGGCCCTGCCAGCCATCTCTGCTGAGACTGGAGACCTGGGGTCTTGGCCTGGCCTCCAGATGCTCCCCGGGGAAGCCCGTTAGGCTCTCGGAGCTACAGTCTTCATCTATAACTTGGGGGTAATAATACCTTTCTTGTGGTATATTTGGGAGGATGAAATAAGAGGTTTATGAAAAGTACCCAGCACAGTACCAGGCATGTGGCCACTATTTTTTCTTCCCTCTGGACTGGTGAGAGAAGGGAGGGGTTCATCCCCAAAGGTGTTACCCCATTCCCCATTTTCTCTGTCCCTTTCATATGTTTCATCTGTCTTCAGCATCCTTCGTTGTGCCCAGCTCAGGGTGAACCCCTGGGACCTGTCATCTTCCCTCCTCTCCACTCCCTCCCTCGTCCTCCTTCTCTCTTCCAGTCTGGGTCTCCCAAAGTTGCTGGCAACACCCCCTCAGATCCCTGAGCCCAGGGGAGCCTGCCTGGTTCCACCTCTCCCACACACAGGGCAAGGCAAGGCCTTGCCCAAGGAGCTGGAGGTGCCCTGCCATCCTTTGATTGGAAGCTGCAGACTGGGGGTCTGAGAGAGACCTGGGCAGGCTGCAAAGGATGCAGAGCTAAGGTCAAATGAGGGCTTCCAGTCACCAGGCTAGGCTGGGCCTGAGCTGTCTGGAGGTGATGGGGTGGTGGGCAGCTCCTTACTAGGCCCAGTCCCTACAGGCTGTGTTCACACCCACAGTTTTAAGACCTAGCCATGTGGTTGAGGCTTGTTGCCAGTCCCTGGCACTAGGAACCAGGCTCAAGTGTTCTTGGAGGGCTGGAGTATAGGGCTGAAAGAGCTTGTTGGTAGTGTGTGACTTTATTAAGAATCTAATATGTTCTGGACTGGGCTGCTCTGCTGCTGGGCTTCCCATGGCACAGCCAGTGTCCTTTGACCCTGTGCTAGAACTCTAGGCTCTGGAAAATCTGTGGGGGAATGAGGAGGCCTTAGACCCAATCAGCAGAGGGTTTGGAAAGCCGAGAAAGGACAGGAGCAGTGAGATGCCTTACTGCTTTGCAGAGGAAAGGACCAGGAGGCCCGCTGTGGATCAGAATGTTTCTATGGCTGGGGGAAAACGATGAGACAAGCTCCGGGGAGCCCCTGCCCTCTGTCCCCCACATGGGACAGGCCTGGGTCTCCTCCACCCACCCTGATCCCTGGCTGCTGAGTCCAGTACCCGGCACCTGGGTGGGCAGCTCAGGAAAGGCCACTGATGGGATTTGTGCTGAACTGGGGATGGAAGCCCCAGCCCAGCCAGCACTGGACTGTGCAGGCCCCAGCCGCTGCCTCAAGGAATTGGGCTGGAGGAAATGCTGAGTGAGGAGGCCTGGCGAGCTGGCACAGAACACGCTGACTCTGCAGGGAGAGGACCACCAAGTGACCACTGCCAGCTGGGCCCTGTGCCCACCCCTCCCCCAAAGCCACATCTGGTGCAATGGTCGGGGAGGCAGGGGGGCTTTGGTCCCCAGAACCAAGGAAGGCAGCCGTGGAAGGGCCCTCGGAGGGGGCTGGGGGCCTTCGGTTTGGAAGCACCTCTCTTCAGGGCTGGAACTCTGGAGAAGCCCGGAAATGGGGGAGGTGAAGTCAGAGTCTTTTGAGGGACAAATGGGGTGAGGGGAGAGGGGGGAGGGAAGGAACCCACCCTTCTCTAGGACCCAGGGGAATTCGGTGGCTCTGGCCACCTCCTACTCTGTTTTTCCTTGTAGCTTCCAAGGTTCCCTGGGGAATTGGAAATACCAGAGTTGATAAAATCGTCTGGGCATCAAGGCAAAGCTCTGTGAGGCAGGAAGCCTCCTCGATCCCCTGATCCCCTCGGCCACCAGCCCGGCCACCTTCTCCCCTTCCTGACTTTCTCCCCCTCGGGAGAGGCAGGCGGGGCTTCGGGGCCCTCTGAATGGTAACATTCCCTGTCCACCCCACTCCACCCCACCCCCGCCCCCCATCCCTCCATCCCAGGGTCCAGAGCTGGCAGAGTCAGGGAAGATCATTATTACAGGAACAGGAGAGGGGATATCATCCCAGGGGCCTTCCTTGCGGGGAGGGATTTTGCCGAAGATGTTGGGTGTGGCCTGCTGGGTAGGAGAGCCCCTTAGGTCAAGGTTGGGGGGTGGGTAGCACTCAGCCAGCATGCGGTAGGGAGGAGCTAACAGAGCCCCCAGCCCGAAGGAGAGAGCTGGTGAGACCAAGCAGGAAGCCAGTCCCTTGGGCTGCAGCGTGGCGAACTCTGGAGACCTGGCAGAGAAACTGAGGCAGGAACCCAGGGCTTCTAATAGCAGCCTGGCAAGGTTAAGGGAGGCTCTTTTCTCTCGCTGTCTCTCTGCTTTTGTTTTCCTGCCTCTATATCTTTAACTTCCATTTGGGTCTTTCTGGGTTACTCTACCTTTTTTTGTTTCTTTTTTCAATACTCCCCATTTTCTCATTCATTCTTTCATTCATTCATTTTCTCTGTCTCCCTCCGTTTCAGTGGCTTGCAGTCTCTACTATTCGTTTCTGTTCTTTCACATCTCTCTTACTCCACCTCATCTGTTTCTCCCAATTATTCCTCCATTTGTCCACTCATTCAGTCAGCATGTTCCCTGGGTGCCTGCTGCATGCAGGCCCCGTGCTGGCTGCGGGATCCCCAAAGAGCTCACAGTCTAGTGAGAGTGATACACGTAAACAGACAAGAACAGAGTG